GGAAGCGACCCAAGGCTTTTTTTTTTTTTTTTGCTTAGTGGGCTGGAAATGTCAATCTTCAGGTTGAGTCAAATGCAAACCATTTACAACACCTGGTGATGGTGGTGGTTGGTTCCGACTCATAGCGACCCTGCAAAGGGTTTCTGAGGCTATAAATCTTTATGGGAGCAGAAAGCCTCATCTTTCTCCTGCAGAACAGCTGGTAGTTTTGAACTGCCAACCTTAAGGTTAGCAGTCCAACTTGCACCACTATGCTATCAGAGCTCCTTTTATAATACCTAGCAATCTTTATAGATAGACATATAAATAGTCAATATGGAATCCTGGCTTGGTATTTTCGGATAAACACTGCACTGCTAGCCACAAAGTTGGCCGTTCAAACCCACCAGCCATCCTTGGAAACTCTATACAGGGTCACTATGAGTTGGAACCGACTTGATGGCACTTAATCACAACAAAACATACACAACAAATACAAGTGGATGGTAAGTACAAAAGTGTACTACTACTATCTAAGCAGGGCACTTTGAAACACACTGCACAATCAATGATTTGCCCAGGCAAGAAGTGTAAACAAGGACTACACAGGACATCTGCTCAAGCACTTTTCTCACGACTTTCCTTGTCAAACAATGACAATCCGAGGAAGACATTTTTCTCTAGATTCACATTTAGTAGCTGAACTGTCTTTTCCATGTTGTTGTCGTCGAGTCAATTCTGACCCATAGCGACCCTGTATAGGATTTCCAAGATGTGGCTGGTGAGCTTGAACCACTGACGTTGCAGTTCAAACTGACTTTGCAGTATAGCACATGAACCCACAGCGCCACACTAGGACTCCTGCTTTTTATTCTGTAACTGATTGAGGTGTTTCCTTTACACTGCCTGCTGAGCCTTAGAATCAAACACCCACATTTTGCAATTGCTCAGAATTTAAAAGTTAGCAGGATTTAAAAAGTATGCAATTTAAACATATCATTTATCACATGTACACCTTTACAGATAGACAAACACACAAACACAAGCGCCCTCTGGTTGGATCAGTTTCTACCGAATTGACGGTGACTCAAGGTGACTACATGTAGGTCACAACCAAGCACCTTAGAGTTTAAAACAGCTGATTTTTTTGGAAGTAGATCACCCACCTTTTTCCCAAGGCACCTCTAGGTGGACTTGAACTGCTAAGCTTTTGGTTGGCAGCTGAGTAGGCTAACTACATATATTACCCAGCTGCTGGTTTCCCCGTCTCTGTTAAATTCTTACTTTCGTGCAACTTCATCCACTTAATTTTAAAGTTGACTCTGCATTGCTCCTTTTTTAATATATTGATATAAGCATCCTAAAATCCATTCTGAAGGAAGGGCAGTATTATACACTAAATGAAAGTATGGTGTTGTTGTTGTCAAGTGCCGTCAAGTCAGTTCGGACTCACAGTGACCCTGTACAGGGTTTCTGAGACTGTAAATTTTTGTGGGAGCAGAAAGCCTTATTTTTCTCCCACAGAGTAACTGGTAGATTTGAACTGCTGACCTTGCAGTTAGCAGTCCAGCTCCTAATCTACTGGAGTCATGGTGTGGCACTGTGGGTTAATGCACTAGACTACAATGTTGGTTTGAACCAAAGGTAGGCGGTTCAAGCTCACCAGCTGTTCCTTGGAAACCTATACAGGGTTGCTATGGGTTGGAACCGACTCGATGGCACTTAACAACAACAGCGTGCATACTTATATGTTAGTGATGTTTTATGTGTTTTTTTATAGCCCTGAAGTTCACTAGCAATAATGAGTTTCAAAACCAGGGTGAGGAGAATCACTTCTCAAAACGAAGATCTACATACAAGAATTCAATCTTAACAGAGACAATACCTGCCTCTGCGTCTTCTCTACAAACCAATAATTTTGTAGATGTATATCACAGATATTATTAGACCTAGAATATAAAAGTCAGTATGTGCCCTGATAGTGCAAATGTGTAGGAAGAATGATTGGCTTCATTTACTGTTTTCATTCAGCTCTCTTCATGATTTGCATATGTGAGCGTAAATCAATATGTCTAACTATTAGAAGCCAAACCTCTGGCATCCTATCTCTCTGTATGTGAAGCACCATACCACTCCATGCCCACATATGCCTGCATGAGGAACCTGGGTCCTACTGCTGTATGTACAAAAGCAGCAGCTGGCAGAGCTGCCCTTGTGTCCTGCAACCTCATGGTCACATTGGGGAATTTTCTGGATTGTGCAATGAAGGGGTGTGTGTGCATTTCATCTCTGTGTCTGTGTATGAGCACATGCACATGAAACTTGACCAATAACTGAAAGACTCAAAACTTGCAAAATCAGCCACAACTAACTCTCTTACAAATACCATTAACTGAATAACTGTCTATATTGGCATGAAGCAACCGAAGGAGGGAACAGCTGAAAGAGGACTTTCCTCAGGAGAAGCAATCAACCTTTACCCAGAAAACATACCAGTTACAGAATAAAAAGCAGGAGTCCTAGTGTGGCGCTGTGGGTTCATGCGCTATACTGCAAACTCAGTTTGAACTGCAATGTCAGTGGTTCAAGCTCACCAGCTGCACCTTGGAAATCCTATACAGGATCGCTATGGGTCAGAACTGATTCAATGACAATCGACAACAACAACGTGGAAAAGTTCAGCTACTAAATGTGAATCTAGAGAAAAATGTCTTCCTCGGATTGTCATTGTTTGACAAGGAAAGTCGTGAGAAAAGTGCTTGAGCAGATGTCCTGTGTAGTCCTTGTTTACACTTCTTGCCTGGGCAGATCATTGATTGTGCGGTTCTCTCTCAAAGTGCAGCAGAATTGTCTATTGCAATATGTCATTTGATTTCCTGACTGCTGCTTCCATGAGTGTTGATTGCGGATCCAAGGAAAATGAAGTCATTGACAATTTCAATCTTTTCTCCATTTATCATGATATTATTTATTGGTTCAGTTGTGAAGATTTTTGTTTTCTTTACATTGAGGTGTAAGGCTATAGTCTTTTATCTACATCAGTATGTTATTTCCAGTCCTCTTCACTTCTAGTAAGCAAGGCTGTATAACCTGCATATCACAGGTTGCTAATAAGTCTTCCTCCAATCCTGATGTTACATTCTTCACATAATCCAGCATACAGATTGAATAAGTATGGTGAAAATATACAACCATGGCACACACCTTTATTGGTTTTAAATCATTCAGTATCTCTTTGTTCAGCTCTAACAACTGCCTCTTGGTCTATGTACAGGCCCCTCATGAGCACAATTAAATGTGCTGGAGTACTCATTCTTTGAAATGTTATCCATAGTTTGTTATGATCCATACAATCAAATGCCTTTGCTTGGTCAATAAAGCACAAGTAAACATTTTGCTGGTACTCTCTGCTTTCAACCAAGATCCATCTGATGATAGCAATGATATCCCCTCGTTCCACATCTTCTGAATCCAGCTTGAATTTCTGTCAGTTCCCTGACAATGTACTGCTGCAACCATTTTTTAATTACCTTTAGCAAAAATTCCCTTGCATGTTTTATTAGTGCTATAATTCGATGATTTCTATTATTCGTAATGATAACTATTCCCAAGATTGCATGAGATGTTGTCAAGAAATTGCTTATAAAACTACCTAATACATGGAGGAATCACTGTCTTTTTTTGAGATTATTTTGGTGCTAGGCATGGTAGTGGTGGTGTGCTCTGGAGTTGGTTCCGACTCATAGCGACCCTGTACAGGGTTTCCGAGGATGTAAATGTTTACAGGAGCAGAAAGCCTCATCTTTCTCCTGTGGAACAGCTGGTAGTTTCGAACTGCTGACCTTGCAGTTAGTGGTCTGACTAGTAACCAGTATGTTACCAGAGCTCCTTATTTGGTACTAAATACCCTTTATTTTATGATGTGATATTTATAATAAATGGTTGCTTTGGAAATTTTCAAATATGACAAAATAAAAAAAGTTGTTTCCCATGTTCTTAGAACTCTAAATGTCTAGATAATGCTGGACTGTAACAGGGATTTGAAACCAGAGTGATGCTTTACCACAGAAGTCATTCTGAATCCAGTACAGCAACTCTTCCAAACTGAAGAGACTTCTCTAGAGCTAATGGGAAGAATGACATTAAGCTTCTCAGAGGAAGTATGCTCAGAAAACTAAAAATACCCCAACAACAATGATAACAGTTACTATTTGTTGTTGTTGCTAAGTGCCTTTAAGTTGATGTGGACTCATGGTGACCCCGTGTATTAGAACTGCTCCATGGGGCTTTCTTGGCTATAATCTTAATGTATTAAAAATGACAGGTACTATCTCCCATAAGGAGCTCTGGTAGCATAGTGGTTACGAATCGGGCTGTGAACCTTAAGGTCAGCAGTTCAAAACTACCAGCTGTTCTGCGGGAGAAAACCCTGTGCAGGGTCGCTATGAGTCGGAACCGAGTCCATGGCACATAACCACCAACCACCATCTCCCATGGCACCTCTAGGTAGGTAAGTATGAACCACCAACTAACCTTCAGGTTAGCAGTTGAGTTTGCACCACCTAGGCACCTATGTGTGTGTGTGCATGCAAAATTGCACATGTGTATTTACTTGGCCCATTCTCTGTGTACACATACATATACATATACAACACACACACACATGCACTAGAGTATGTGTATTGGTTTGCTCAGACCACTCTCAGAGTGTGCATATACATATACATTTGTGAGTATGTGTGTGTTTAAACATGGGGTGTATTTGCCTGCCCCTCTCTCTATATACATATATGTATGTATGTGAGTATGTGTAAGTATGAATTTGTCCATCTTATTTTACTGCAAAGAGTGAGCATCTTGCTCATGTGGACACACTGGCTTCCAGTTATAATCACTGTTCTGAACACCCGCCCGAGGTGAGTGAGGTTGAGTGGCACAGATCTGAAGAGAACTAGATTGGGTGCTGCCTGCCCTTTAGGAAGTGGGTGGGGCTCACTCACTGAGTAAATAATGACTCTTACCTGCAGGGACGATAACTCTGCGCTCGTTTGTGGTCATGTTTGGAGGTGGAATATGCTTCTCCTCGATGTAGCTGCCGTAGTTCATCCCCACCGTGTCTGGGCTGCCCACCATCTTCCCACCTTTTGTCACACTGCATTCATCAGGGGAGTTCCTGGAGATGGGGAGAAGGTGGTAAAGTCTTCCATTATTACTTAGTGGGAAGCAGTCATGTGGTTCTTCCCCTGATGCATGGAGGGAACCAGGGAAGTTAAACTAGGAGGAGACTGAGGAAGAAAGGAAGAGGGAGAAGAAGGATGGGAAGTCATAAGAGTCCCCACATTCAAGACAAGTGCAGAGCAGACAGATGAGAAGCAGAGTTGCCAATGGAGTCTATTTATAAAGCCTCATGAAACTCTCATTTCAAAACTTCATCTGTATCAGCTGACTGGAAACCTCACAGGCAAGGTAGACTGTATGAAGGTCAGCAGGTGCACTGCATGTTTGCGTGCTTGGTAGAGACATCAAAGGCCTCTGGACTCAACAAGGTTTATTCCACAACAACTATGATGTTCCTCTTCAAGACCTCAACATGGAATCTTTGTTCGGCATGTCAACCCCCTGAAGCCAATCTTTTGCTGTGGAGCTTTGAATGGTCACAAAGTTCCAAGCTCAGGTGCAAGCAAGAAGGGCAGAGCATGGAGAGGGACTGACACCCTGGGATCATTACTGGGGAAGAGGATTCTGGCGGCCTTTCAGGAACTCTGGAGAAAGGTGATGGGACACCGTACCAACGCAGACAAAACTCAGAACTGATCCTTGGTAATGGCTCACAATATTCTTGTGAATAAGGCAGCTCCATTCATTCAGATAAAAACAAACCTGCCTTTTCTGCAAAAAGATGAAGTGATAATGAGATTTGAAAGTTAAAGCATGTTAGCGCATATCTAATAGGAAATTTCTAAATAGAAAGTACAGATTAACTAGAAAACAGAAACACACATCAATGCCACCTTCTTAGATAGTTCTAACCTAGTGTCATTGGAACTAATAAGGCTTGATATTCTGTTTATATCTTCTAAAGTGTATGGGGAGAAGTCCAGAAGTATTCCTATAATGTTATAGAAATTTTAAATAAAGAAAACTGTCAAAACTTGGAGTCCTGGTGTGGCGAGGTGGGTTAATGCACGGACTGCAAAGTTGGTTTGAACTGCAAGGTTGGTGGTTCAAGCTCACCTGCCACTCCTCAGAAACCCTATATAGGACTGCTAGGGGTCGGAACCAACTCGATGACACTTAACAACAACAAAATCAAAATGTGAAGCTATTGTTTCTCTATATATCCTTCCATTTACGTTAATACACTTCTGAAGGAGTTATTTCCATCTCTTGTAGGGTAAGTACTGGACCAATAGCCACAAAGTCGGAAGTTCGTAGGCAACAGCTCTTCTTGGAAACCCTATCCAGGGTCACTGTGACAGAACACAATGCAACTCTTCCTAGAAGAATTCTGCACTCTTCAACTTACACCACATCCAAACAACAGTTCTGGCATCCTCAAGAGACTCAAATTGTATTTTTTTAAATGTTTTTGTGGAAAGATCAGGACTATAGGGTGGATGGAGTAAGGTTTCCCAACAAAATTCTCATAGAACTGCCCTTGCAACCCTTGAAGAATGAGCAGGTTCAATGTAATGGAAAACAAAATTCCTCAGTGCAACTTTGCTGGCCTTTTCCTCATTAATCTAGCTCTCCATTGTCTTAAAACTTCTTCCTAATAAGCCCCATAGTTGTCTTGTGCCCTTCAAGACAAGCTCTCAAAATCATGTGCTTGGCATACCTAAAGCATAGTCACCATAACTTTCTGAATGGACCTCTCAGCCTTTAACATAACCGGCCCAGCAGTTTCCTTTGGAAGTTACTATTTTGATTGGACCTTTTATTGAAGGCACCCTAATGACTGAGACAAGTATTACTGAGAGAATTTGTCTAAAGCCCTCCATAGAATTCACAGACATGTTTAAATGGGCTTTGTTTGGAATAAACCATGCATGTATGAACTGGAACCCTAGTTGCAAAACCGCTTGACTTGCCCTCCTATTTGTGGAAATTGCCTCCAAAGTTCCCTCTACTATGTACTTTTTCAGATTGTTGAGAAGCTGTGAACAGTCACTGGATTTTATACATATTCCCCAATGATAAAGATCCTAGAGGTTGTGGGTCCCATTCCAGTGAATCGGTGTTCACCTCTGCTACATGGAGTTTGGCAGTGAACTTGTGACATCACAGAACTGTAGGCGTGGCATGAATTTGGCCTTCAAGAATGAGAACATCAGAACTATCTGAGCCAGGAGGACATGCATTTGATGGGATGGGGCTGGAAGTGGGATGGAGAAAGCTATTCCAGACGCAAAGGCTATGGTGGGGTGTCTACAGGAGAATCCGTGTGCACTGGAAAGAGTGATCTCGGCATCTGGAACTTTGAAAATATAGGCTTGTTCTCAACATCACTTGTGAATGTGTCAGGAATCTATAGAGAAAGCTAAGGGTTGACTAGATGTTCAAATCCGGATCCCTGGTTGTGCAGTGATTAAAAAACTAAATTGCTAATTGAAAGGCCAACAACCATTCAGCAGGAGATACACTTGGTAGTGTGGTTCTGTGAAGATTATGGACATGGGAACACAGTGAGGCAGTTCTATTCTGACCAAGAGGGTTGTTGTGAGTCAGAACTACATTGTTTAGCTAATGGTAGTAGATGGAAGCTAGAGTCAGGGTATAGGATACTGGATTGGAAATATCCTACCACCAGCCTAGAAATACACAGGCCTGCTTGGTTGCAACTCTACAGCTGTACTAACATGAAGGAAACTGAAAAATAAAAATGGTCTGTGTTCCCATGGTGCAGATCCTTATATTTTCAATGCTGTCCACACATTTAGTATTTCCTTCTGACACTATTTTTCCTGGCTTCAGGCATTTATCACTAAAAGACTCATCCAAATATCAAGACACAGAATGACTTTATTTGAGACTTTGTTTCCTATTCTCTTGGAAAATTCCATCCACTGACTGGCATGCTGTGATGTATTTGTTTCAAGGAACAAAGTTACTAG